AATTTGGGAGCTGATTTTCTGGGTGGTGAAGATGAAAAACTGAAGTTTTTTTTTTCCTGGCAGTCCTGTTATTTTAGAACTAAGCCCTTCTACTCACGCAGTCAACCTCTAAAACAAGGCCTACAGGACTGGAGAAAAGCACTCGCTTAACATATAGTATTTGACATTGCCCATGGCTAAATATGGGGAACAAGATGTTCTCTGTGGCCATACCAGGCTTCCTTAGTCATATATGCTTTAATCTAAGCCCTGCTACAGGGAGAGATCCCCAGCCCCATTTCCCCTTCTGAGCAGCAACAGCAGGGCGAGCAAAACATGCGCCCGCTGAAGCATGGCCAACGCGACACCAAGGCTTGGCTCTGCACACATCAGCCCAGTCAGGCAGGAGCATGCCCTTGGTGCACTTCATTTTGGAGTTATTTGCTATGGTTAACATCAAAGACATTTCCTACTCCTGCACGCTGTTCACGTCTCGCTAATTTCATAAATGGTAGAGTGCATGTCTGATCTCCTTTCTCTGCCTCTCTACAATCATTCCTAAATCCCATGGGAAGCTCAACACTGAACCCAGCCAGCACAGCCTGTGGTGCAGAGCAACCCCTGGCATGGCCAGCTTTAGGAGGAGAGGGTCACCAGCAAGGCTCAGGGACCTTTGTCAAGGGTCTATCTCCCCAAGGGTCAGGATTCCTAGGCACCCAGCTGTGGCATGTGAATCCACAGGGATTCAGCCCAACCTACCTGTACTGATGTTGGCACCCAAGTGTCCTGAACTCACAGCTCACCACAGTTCTGCAGAAGAGTCTGGCTACATCATCCCCACTTTGCAGATGGAGAAGGGACCTGCCAGAGGCAGCACAGATTTCCCTGGGTGCAGCAGCAGCATACTTTGGCAAACCAGTTCAATTTCTTAAGCCTGTGGGACCACAGAACCATAGAATCAACTAGGTTGGAAAAGACACCAAGTCCAGCACTAAACCATGTCACTAAGGGCCTCATCTACACACGTACCACCTCCCTCAGCCAAATAAACTTCTCAAGAGAGGAGAACCTAATTTTATATTGTCTTTACAAAACCTTCTGAATATTGCTTGAAACACATATAGCTCGTTGACTCACAGACATGGGTTTGCAAACACAGCTTGATCCGAGTCCACCAAAACTAAGAAGCTCCACTGAATTCAGACTTTGGCTTCACGCAAGGAGGGGTCGAGGCTGTGATGGGCAGAAAGGCTTTCCTTATCCAGTACTGCCCTCTGATGCCCGGCTCAGCAGATATGGGCATGGGGAGAGCTGGATGGGGCTATAACTCTTTGAAAACGCATCCCATAAGAAAAAGTGACATTTTCCAGCATCTCACAGTTAAAATTAAATAAATAAACACACAAAACCTCATCAAAAGCAGCAGTCTCTCAGCAAGGCAGGCATCAGCAGAGCTGGGCTCAATCACACAGCATGGGAGGGGAAGTCCCTGCGACTGAGAAGCGAATGGGTATCTGCAGCACAGCATAAATTAATACGGCAGCTGCTGCTTTTGCAGGGAAATCAAACCCCAGCCATTCCCTTTCACAAACAGGAACTTCACAGAGGCACTATAGGATATTTCATTACTAAGTATTCCAAATTTTCGACATGAAAAATATTCCCTAGCGTTAGTTACATTATTTGTTTCATAGGGAGGGGATTAACATTCCTGGGGCTCAGGAAAGAGGCACATGCCACTGAAGCAAGCAAATATGATTATTTCTTTGTTTTCACAGGTCCTCGTGCAGGCGACTGCAGGTCTCGGAGATACACTTCAGGCCTGTGTCAAAGTATGGCACTCCTTCATTAGCACTTCAAGGGCTCTGAATCTGAGGAAGAAAAGGACTCCAGTCTCAGAGCTAGATTCTTCACCGGTTTACACCATGTAAGTGGGGGGCTACTCACAGTTTATGCTGGCATGGCTGAAAATAGGACCTCTTCCCTTGTATTTCCGTCTTCTATATAAAAACTAAGGAAAAAGAATAGAGAAATAGATTATCATCTCATTTACACCAGTGTAACTCTGGAATAGCAAAACCAACTCCAGACAGTTGAAATGTCTTGGGGAGCTGACCTGGCCCAGTGGCTTTATTTCTGGAGCTTGGCTCCTCCTCTGAATTTTAGAAGTGATATGTTCATTCTCTGAGGCAAACCTCATTTTCCAGCTCAAACATTTTATGCAGTGTTTTAGGAGGCTGTTTGATACTGCTGCACAGCCTTCAAAGTTAAGTATTATCAATAATGTATTCTTCCACGTAACCTCTTTAACACTCACAATAGAATAAAATAAGAAAACACATCAACAAAAAGGAATTGCCTCTGCTTGCCAATGCCGTGTGAATGTTAAATTCCCCATTTCACAATGCAGCCATCCCTGGAAAACTCTGAGAGCGGATTAACGCTCTTCTGGTACTTCACCATATCAGAACATGGATTTGCAGACAACAGCTGCAGCAAATTCCCTGACTGAGAAGAATTACAAGTATTATCACCTAGATCATTAAACCCGGTTCATAGATTGCAGGATGTCTTCAATCAATTCATCTAAGATAACTTGAAGCCAGCTGGACCCCCTCAGTGAGAACTTGACTTAATTGGCCAATAAGTGGCTGGAAAAGGTGGCTGCGATTTGATAAAATTACAGGCTGCAGAAGTGATTACAGTTTGGAGAACCACAGAGGGTAGCCTCCGGGTCAGGCCTTTTGGAGAGGGCTAAGTTAATGTCCACTATTAAGTGCTGCTGTGAAAAATGTGGGCCCACTTGGTGCTCAGATGTAAAGTGTATCCAGGTCATTCTTCAGCTGATGGAGAGAGAGATGTGCGCATTTATCACTGCTCTGGCCTCATTTCTGCCTTGGTAATAGTCGTACACTAACAACTGCTGGCAGTTTCATGGTTTTCTGGGTACCCTTCCTTTTATTGGCATAACTAAAATATTATCTGAGCAAAGCAATCCATCTGCTAAAGAAAAACACTTTCCTTCAATTACGTCCCCCGAGCCTTTTCTTAAGAAAGGTTAAAGCACCAAGAAGTTGAAAAATATACATTTTTATTCTTTCCAATCTACTGCAAATACGCTTGCTTATTACTCGGTAAGTAGTAGGTCTACATATTTACCATTGCAAAATGTTAGGGAATATGCCTACCTTTAGGAAAAGGGAAAATTCACAGCATCGGATTAGTGTTTAAGCACAAATCATTATCTAACAGCCTATCTTACCTCTCTCAAAAACAGAAAAAGAGGAGATTGCATAAACAATTTAGCTATGATTTTTATGTTTAATAATTAACTAGATTAGGTCATTTGCAGAAAAGCAATGTTTTTCTAAATGGAGCTACAAAGAAACCATCACGTTCCCCGATTGTGTTAAACATGGAAAAAACAGAGTTTGATCCTGCTTGTGCTCAGCAGGCAGGGCTCCCATTGACCTTGGCGAGGGGCTACTGCATGCGGGTGCCTCCCAGGCATTAACCCTTTTGTTAAAGCCCACCCCAAGATAGGGCTTGCAATCACTTCTGCACCAATAGAGTGTATCTGCTGTGATTCCATGTTGCTGAGGCTGCATATTTTTCATGGATTGGATAATTTTCATGGGTTTTGTTTTGTTATTTTTAAATCCCTACCTTTTACAGAGCTAGCTCCAAGACTCGCATATCTGATGCAGATACTCAGAAGTAGCTTGGGCTCATTCTAAGGACTTTTTTGCTGATGGCTAAGTTGTCGTAATAGTAAATGGTGGAACACGTAACCTAGGGGTTGCATAGTCAGCTAGGTGCACACAAAACACATATGAATGAAGTGTGGAAGGACAAGTTACATGTTTTACCATCAAAACAACAAGGGATGGGGTGCTGACAAGATGATTTTAGGCTACAGGTATTAGGTCAGAATTCGACTTCAAAATAAGGTACAAAATGTGTACTTTCTTAAAATGTTTTCCTTTCATATGTTGGAACAACTGCCAGAACCCAGTTTTGTTTCACTTATAGACTGAAAGTAGGTTGCCATGTTGTTGCTGGATATCCTACCATATAACAGAACATATATTTCTTCCCAAATAACAGCGACTCCCATCCCACCCAGGCACAAAACAGAGTCACCCAAGGCACACAATGAGGTAGGCTCTGTGAACAACCAGCCTGCAGTTTTTGAATGGAACTTCTATTCATGGGGGCTCTTTTAAGAAAAAAGGTGGTGGGTTTAGTTTTTTTCCTGCTGTGGGGAGAGGATGCCCCTTTCCAAATGTTTCTGGTGAAAGCAAATCCATTTTGGTCATGTAACATTTGCCCTTAGTTTTGAAATATAGGGTAGAGAGTGAGAAAGAAACTGAAAAGGGTCAAAAAAAGCAAGATGTCTCCAGATTGTCAATATGACCATGCAGCAGTCCTTCCATCCCTACTCCGATTTTTTTTGTTGTGTCCCCCTGCCAAATTTTGTGGAATAGACTTGATTTTAGCCTGCAGCTCTCTAGAACTTGTGACCCTGCCCTGTCCATGGGAAAGCACCACTTGGTGGGACCAAGCTACGTGGCTGGGATGGGGACCAGCCCCAGCTTCTCCTGTTCTCTGGGATAACATTTCCCCAGAATTAGTTGCCTTTTGCCCTGCCTCTGTAGATGCGCCTATTGCCTTCTGCATTCAGGGCATTCATCCCAAACCTCTGCATGAAAACACGGTGCCCATCACAGGCACAGAGAGATCATGGATGTTTCAATCCCTGGTTCTGCCAAGCATTTCTCCACTTTGCTCTTTAGTGTTGCTTTGCTGGCTAAACCCTATTTAGAAAAGACCTTTCTAGGAAAATTCCAGCATCTTGAGCATTGCCCTCCTCACTTGGCAGAAAGATGCTACCTGCCAAGATTTACCATTCCATGCAAGATGGATGCCCAGGGAGCTGCTTGTCCTCTGCTCCTAGCTCTGCAAGTGTGGCACTGCATAACCAGGGTCAAATTGGAGCTGTGTGGCTTCATTGCCACCATGACCTTGGATGCGACAGCTCCATCCAGCAGCCTGCGACCAACTGGGTCTGCCACCTACCATGGGAGGAAAAGAGAAGTTAATTGAGTTGTACACAATTTAATCACATTAACATCCCTAGTGCTGCCACTTCCCATGTCCCCACGAGCTTGTGCCACATTTGCGGTTACTGGTGCTCTGGTACACCCCAGGGCACCCAATTTCAGACACACAACAAACTGTCATTTGCAAATTTAGAAGCCTATTTCTAAAGCAAACTAAGCAAACAATGGTACTCTCTCTGCCTGTCACAAAGATCATTAAAGGAACAGTTGCTGGTGGGGATTTCAGTGGCAAACAGGCCAGGCTTGGCAGGGCATGACCTTTGCTCCAGCTCACTGCTTTCATGATGAACTGAAGTGACGGCCCTCAATAGCCCATCATGCCACCAGCCTTTTGTCAGGATGCTCCAACCAGTGGATCAACATGGGCTGATCCAGCAGTCCCCAGAAGAGAGCTTTCTGCCTTTGAAGGCAAAAGTCCTCCTAGGTCAGTCCTGCATTCAGGAGGAGAGGGGGAAGCCATCACCCACCACTTCTGCACAGCCTTGTGATCACCTTGGTCTTTCCTCCTCATGTGAAAACTGGAGCTCTGGCATCCTTGCTGTGCTCACTGCTGCAGCTCTGGCATCACGCTGTGGGCACTGCAGAATTCCACATTTTCCTGGCCCCCAGCTCCACTTGATTGCCTGAGAATGGGAGCCCCATTCTGAAGAGTGAGCGTTTTCCTTGTCCTTGTGGTCATGAGGAAAAACTCAAGGGTCAGCACTAGAAAAAGAACACAAGCCTATTTCAGACTTACATTAACATTAAGATCTTTAAGACCATCTCACTTCTCTGCTCCAGACTTTCAGTAATTAAGGACTGCAAAGATGACTTTCCATTGCCTACTGCTATGGTACTCACCTGCTTCTACTCAGGCTCATCTGCATGGTGCTGTGGGTGCCCCAATTTTGGGTGCTTCCACAGTGCAGTGCAGAGCTGCTGGAAGCCAGAGCAGCAGGACTGGGGCTACTTCATCCACCCAGCCCAGTATTTTCCATTTGGCTACAGCAATCACTGCAGTGTAGGGTACAGTGGAGAACGGCTGCCAAGATCCCTGTTTTAAGCTAGAGAACAGGGAATGGGAACAGGAAGATGCTATGACTGAGCTATAGGCAAGATACTGTTTAGTGTACCCTGTAGAAAAGGACCAGAGCTACACAGTTTGCTCAACAAATGGAAAAGTCTGGGTCCATTTCGGCATGTTCTAAATACATTGGAACTCCGTCAGCATCTTTTAGTGGGGGTCCATTATTTTTAATTATCATTAAACACAGAAGTAACTCAGATAAGCTTTCCTTCCTTTTGTCTTTCAGGACCATGAAGATGGTATAGAGAGGAGGCTATTTGTACATGGAGGAGAAAAGTCTATTTCTGTTTACTTTGAAAAAGCTTAGCATTGACTTCCATTTATCTTCCAATAAGTCCTTGTCCAATGTGGCTTGGAACATAATCTGTTCCAGAGCAAGGGGTTCTTAATGAGAGAGCTGAAATCCCTCTTCCTTTTTTTTACTCCATTCATTAAAAAGGTAAAGAGGGAGGAAAAACCCAGAAGAGAGTTAGAAAATGGCATGAAAGCATATTATCAGTAAACTGTTTCCACTGTGTTTGTGGCTGTTCTTAATGTTTTATGAATATGCTCAGAAATTTGCTCAGGCATTTTTCCTTGGGCACTCCAGTTAATTACTGATTCAGAGAGCTTCTACTCTGTTCCTTGCAAAATGTGTTGTGCATTAATTCTGATTATGTACAAAAACCCACCTGCAAGGAAAAACTCTGCATCAGTAATGCTGATAAAATGAGCAGCTCTCCTGGGGCTTTGCTGAGAAATAGGATACTGGACAGAATTAAAATCTTGTAGCTAAGGCTATTCATAATGTCATTAACATAAAGGCAATTAAATGAGTTTTTAACCTACAACCCTTTATTGTTATTAATGAACATTAGAAAAACACAGGAGATAAAATCAGTAATTACCTCTGCACCAAGCTATGCAATAATGTGTTTAAATATAAAAACAAAACAAATGATTATTGTTAGTATTTTTCAGTAGCAGAAGCCCCAAGGAGCAGCTCAGTCACATTTAATCACATGGTACTACACCAAGAGGGTTAATTAAAAGAGGGCTTTACCTTCAGCACGCTTGGTTATTCTGTTTAATATGGCATCAACAAACAGAAACACCAATCTGCAGATTATTCCAGGCGGTGTCTTTACCTTCAGGTGAACCACCTCTACAATAACCAAGTGGGGTTTCTTTCCCTCCAGGACAAGGAGGTACAGTCCCGTAATCAAGTTTCTATTGTCACGTGCTTTCAAAACCAATTTCAGAAACAACTGTATAAACCCTGGCTCATAGCCTAAGCTTGTCATTCTGTAAAAGAAAGAATCTGGGAATTAGAAAGGGATGGATATTTTACAGAAGATGGTTTAACTGTGATTGCAGCACTGCAGCACAGTGAAAGAGCCTCCAGTTCCATTTTTAATGCTAACTATTGTATCCTCTAAGCAGTCATGAATTACCGAGTATCTTCTAAAGGGGAAATACATTAAAGCTCAGTGAAATAGCCTACAACTACATTTGAAGTTATTAATTCAATTAAAGTTTTATGATTTGAATCTCCAGAACGGCTTTAGCATCTATCTCTTTAAATAGTTTCTTTAATGTATTTACATTGTTTTGGGGGTTCAGAAAGCTATTTTCCTGGGCAATATGTAGCTTAATAGATGACAGTTACTACATTTTATCTTCCATCTCAGTAGACAAAGCTTTCCTAAGGAAGATGTCCCTTAACATGTCCAGATACAGCTCACAGAAGGGAGGAGCTGAAGCCACCTAAAGGCTGTGCAGGGTCCAGTACTGGCATCAACATCATGAAGCATAAGATGCTCTCTTTCTATTTGTGAAGTCTGCCTAGTGAGACAGACAAGAAAGAATTAAGAATAGACAACTATGTAAAGGATGGGCAATTAATAGCACAGTTTATGACAGCAGATACTGTCAGTCAAACCAGCTGCTTCCTTTGGCAGGCATGCAGCAAGGAAAAAGATAACCTGACCACTCAGACATCTAAAAGAGCTTGCAAAATGCTCCTTGTTATACCTGAAACCAAAGGTTTTGTGAATGCAAGTATCTACAGTTCATCCTTACACAGCAATCTCTGGCAAAAGCTGAGAGCTGGATCTCACAAGAGGCAAAATCACCTATTCAGCTTAGAGAGGACTCAAGACTAATGAAGAAGCTAGGTGCACCAAGAAGGCAGGAGCAGAGGGAAAAAGCTGCTCTGTGATGTAAAGTGATTGGAATGGGTGCTAACACACCCACAGGTATTCTGGCATTGCTGTTCATCTGCTCCCAAGACCTTTTTAAACACATACAGCCTTCTCTACCACCGTCTGCATTGCCAGTGATGCATGGGATCACCGGCACTGACATGCTGTGTTGTTAAACAGCAAGTCATGAACAACTGTGGTATTATAATCAAAAATTCCTTCAGATAACTTAACAGCTCTAAATACCTGAAAGGTTTTTCCCTACAGATTGCTCTTACTCCTGCTCTAGAAACTGATTTCACTTGCTTGTGTAAGCCTGCTGTTCACTAGTGTAATAAGAAAAGGCCCAGGCTATTCAAGTGCTCTGTAGATGCAGAAATGATGTGCATCCTAACCAGCTTCTCCAAGTAAAATAAGTATAGGTGGTTTAGTTTCTTTTGAACTGGAGATGTTGCAGGAGGCCATTAAGCTGGGTGAGCTGTGGTAGAGGTGAGATGGTCCCCAGCACTCTGTGTGTGAACCTGCAGCCCTGGCAGCAATGCACGGTGGTGCCAGAGAGAAGCACAGCATCACTTCTGTCCTCAAGGCACCATGTAGGTAACGCTGCAAACATGCAGCCCCATGTCTTACATGTCCCATCACTTTGCAGCCTGCAAGAGTACAAGCAAGGGCCACCATGATGGAACTCTTCTCTTTCTACCCAGGCAGCTGCCTTTGGGTGGCCTCTGCTTTAAACTTCACTTTGAGTTTTTCTGGGAAGAACAGAGGCACACAGCTAAGCTCACACTGTGTGCTGGCTTTTGGGCATCCTTTTCTAGACTTTTAATTTTAGTTCATGACTTACCGCTAAACCTTACCTTCTTCCCTTTACCAAGGCAAAAAGCACAATGATCTTTCTATAACATGACCAAGTAGAAGCTTGTTTTCATTGAAAGCTGTTTCGGACTGGGCTACCTTGCCCCAGCCCCATGGCTCTGTGTGCTATTGTGCTGGGAGGAGGCAGTAATGTTCTGCACACTCAAGTGTAGCACACAGCAGACGGGCAGAACTACCACCCTTCACTTGTATCTCAAACCAAACAAGCTAACCCAAAACACAGTGGCAAGGGAAATTTGGTGAGGACAGGAATGATTCCCATTAGAAGAAAAAAGTCATTACACATACCTGGGGTGAATTTAAAATTGCTGCAGCCACTCATTGTTCTGGACAGCTTCATCCAAGACAGCCATGCAACACAGCAGTGATCCCAAAAAGCAGTGAATGCCCAGGGAGGAGATGAGCATCAAGAAGTGTCCCACAGTTTCTGACATCAGCAACACCCAGGTCAGTACAAGCATTCCTACTGTGCTCAGCTGAAACCCATGAACCTGGGAATAACCCAATCCCAGTGGGGATCAGCTCACTGGAACCATCCATTGAGGCATCTGGTCACAGCCGCCACAGTGAGGGGAGCACACAAGAAATCAGCCTGTTCTAGCGTGACAAACCCTAACTTCTTTATGAGCTTAAGCATGAAAGAACTACCAAGTCTATATTTTATTTATACTATTTTAGTGGATAAATGACACTCTTGTTCCTGGGTTTTTTTTTCCTTGCCAGCTATCAAGTGTTTACAGTGACAACAGCCTGTTGTCTGCCATTCAGAGGCCTGGCACCTGTCTGGATAATAGCATGACTCAATATTCCTAAAGTACTAGATTTCTGTAAGAGAAGAAAAATCAATAACTGTGACAAGCACTATCCATTAGAGCCCGAGAGCAGAGAGAGCAAACGATTACACAGTGTCATTTGTCCAATATAATGAGACTGTAAATGAAAACTCTTACAATTGAGCTTTGGGTGATAAAACATCCTTTCAAAAACAATATGACCATGGATGAGATCTACTTGACTTCCAAGGGCCAAGATGGTCAACACTAGCTGAAGCTCATGGGTCCTGCACTGCCAGATGATGGTGCCCCTTGAGATCAATAGATCCCATGAACGCAGAACAGAGCAACAACAGCCATCAGCATCAGCTCCCTGTCCCAGGGCAAAGGCAAAAACGTCTTTTTTTCCATACACAACTCTCTTTTTCTTTCATCAGGCTTCCCACATCAGAACAATACATGCATACAAAACACAGTATATATACACCCAAATCTCTATTTCAATATCTAGAGTATATGCTTATACTCTACACAACAATATTTCTAAACATTCAGGAATACGGACAGTGGGAAGAAATGAAATGTGGCTGGTTTCCGGAGCATGGCCATCCTTCGCTCTCCAGCTCCCTTCCCACCCCTGGTCTCCTTCATTGTTCGGCTTCATGGCCTTGTGCCACTTGGGCTGATGTTTCCCTTCTAAATGGCATTTCAGCTTTGGCCTCTCTCACTGCCCAGCACCCTCTCCCAGATTAGCTCCTGGGTGCCATATGGTACAAATGGGCTGCTGCACGCACGCACAGTCAGCGCTTAAGAACCTGCCAAGCTGCTGCCTCCACTGGCAGCCTGCCTGGTGGCTCCGTGGGCTGCGAAGGGAGCACCACGCTGCCTGGAAGTAATTGAGATGGGGCTCTGCCAGGTTGCTCACACACAGCAGCCCTGTGAGCTATGCTCCCCTTTCCCCTCCTCTCCTGCATGGCAAGGTCAGGCATTCCCGCACACGCACCCCCTTTGTGACTGTGCTGCTTCCCAAACTGCCTTGCTTAGGAAAAGGATCACAGAATCAGCCAGGGTGGAAAAGACCTTTAAGATCATCAAGTCCAACCATTACCCCAACACTGTGAAGGCCACCACTAAACCATGTCACTGAAGGCCTCATTTACACAGTGTGTGGACACTTCCAGGGATGGTGACTCCAGCACTGCCCTGGGCAGCCTGTTCCAATGCCTGAGCACCCTCTGGGGAAGGAATTGCTCCTCAGCTCCATCTAAACCTCCCCTCGTGCAGCTTGAGGCCTTTTCCTCCTGTCCTGTTGCTTGCTACTTGGGAGAAGAGACCAAACCCACCTCACTACCTCCTTTCAAACAGTTGTAGAGAGCGATAAGGTCCCCCCTGAGCCTTCTCTTCTCCAGACTGACCCCCCCCACCCAGTTCCCTCAGCCATTTCTCATCACACTTGCTCAATGTCTCAACCGTTTCTCACTTCATTCAGGGTACATGCCAAGGAGAGCCCACAGGTCCCTGGGCTGCTCCCTGCACAGTATCACAGGGAGCCATTTCCACAGGGACACTCCAGTGCAAGGATGGCTCCTGACCATGATGAGGAGGAAAGGCAGGGCAGCAGGACCACTGGGAAATCATTGAGGTTTCTCACCTTACCACAGGGGTCCTTTCCTAAAGCATACGTGTTCCTCCTCTCACAGTGGTAGATGCACACCTTTAGCTGGTTGCAGGAAGGTTGATAAGCTCAAGAGCATCACCTCTGGAGACTTGGCCTGGAGAAAATGAAGAGAAACTGCAGGAAGTTTGTAGAAGTTTGGCTGTTGGTTTTAAAGGAGCCAAAAATCACATGAAAACAGCTGCAGCAGCTGACCTCTTCAAGTATCTGTCAGACAACACAGCCCTTCTTCTCCTTTTCTCCCACCCTCTTACAGCCTGATCAAGTCTCTGCTTTCCCTCATCCCACTACAGTTCTGATTCCACTTTCTCCTCTACCAGTCTGGTAGAGTACACTCCTGGTCCCAGGTTCTGTTGCTAGTGCTGTGAAATTGTTTTCATCCAGTGCTGTTTCATGAGAGATACAGACTAGGTCCCTGGTCTGCCTAAATGCTTCCTCCAATGAACATGCTCTACCATCCCTTCCCCGTGCCAGGAGCCACATTTCCCACGTGGAAAACTTGTCCTTGGAGAGAGGTGATGTTTTCCAAACCGCCTCCTCAAAAGCCACTCCCTGGGGCTTCCTGTGAAGTGAGGTGCATCAAACATCTGATAACATAGGGTCAGGCACCAGCTTCACTTATGGTTGAAGATGAGGGGGGAAATTACAACTTCTCTGTCACTTGGTATTGGGGAAATAGGTCAATAGCTTCTAATACGATGTTGCTCCTTAAAAGACATCATTTTGTATATTGGTAGCTTGCCAGCTCCAGATAACCTCCAGTAGAGCTTCAGATTTGCAGTAGCCTTCATTCTTCATAGGTTGGACTTCAAAGCTGTAACATTACCTATATGTATTTGGGCATTGTTTAGATATTGTTAGACTAAACTTTGCCCTTCAGACACAGTGGGGAGCGGGTAGAAGAAAGGCAATGTTAGAATAAAAAGTATGAAAGGAAACTCAGGTTGAAAACCCCTCTGACAGAGGCTGGTGGCTACACTGGTACTTCCTGTGCAGCGGTGAAGACAGCAGCAGTTCTGATGTATTCTGGTGATATATTTGTAAGATGTTCCTACACAAAACTTCAGATGAAACAGTCTCTTTATAAGCTTTTGATAGCAAGGAGAGAAGAGGGTTTGCCATTACCTCTGTTTGTGAAATGAAAGAGATACTGAGCCTTGGTGTTCCTGGATGGAGCAAGTGATCATCGCAATGACAGCCAAACTAGCTTTGCTTGTTTGTTGTGTACCTTATGCTAAGGGGAAGGAACTTCTTTGCTGTCATTGTATTGTGTGATGTGCTAAAACACAATCCGTGCCCAATGCATGCAGGAATTTCAAGCCAGCACTATTTATTACCCATGCATATACAGCACGTTTGCTGCTTTGCTGTCAGTGTTGCTTGCAGTGCTTTAGTGGAAATAAAAGGGCATTGTATCTAGAGTGCCACAATAAGCTTTGACAACATGGATGTTGCAAAAATGGCTGTAAAAAGGTTTGCTAATGTACCACATGCAGATGGGTGAGAAGGAAGGCTCTACCACGAATACTTGGAAAGGAACTCCTATAAGTGACATTTGTAACTCTTGCTAGTAAGGGCAGTACTCATATGTCCAGATCCTGCCTTGGGCATTGCCATGTTGGCAGAGAGGAGCAGTAGCTCCCAGGAAGCCTCACTGCCTGCAGAGGTGTCTGGAGTGCATTTGGGGTGGAAACTGGCCAAACTGAAACACTTCAGAAGCCATCAGCTCTACCATTAACCCCATCAGGTTCCTAGGGTCTGTTATAGACGGTGCAACACAAGATCCTACATTTTCCTCAAATAATCCAAGAAATAAACACCATGCAACTACTGGACCAGTCACACACATCGGGCTCTGGAGAACAGCAGTGCTCTTCTGGAGAAGCCAGAGCATTGCTCTCTCCTTAGAAGTGCATAGCTAAGCCATTCATACCATATTTCTAAGAAATAAGACCTATGCTGCTTGTAGGACATGGTGGCTCTCCCAGTGCCCCTTGCAGACACCCAAAGCAAAATCAGTATTTGGAAATGCAGTTGATAAGGGAGTTTATGTTTAGCTTACATCATCAAACAAGTTCTCCTACACAGACTCTGCCGGGACATGGTATGTTTCATGTGGCAAGTGGTCAGTCACCTCCCCATCTCCCAGGCTTCAGCCTTCCCCATGAACCCACTTTTCTGTCCCCATAAGCATACAGGTCACATCAAACAACAAAAGCAATTCCCACCTCCCATGCATGTGCAATGCCAGCTCTCATGTATCTCCAGCTACAAGAAGATCTCTTCACACAGACTCACAGAAAGCCCAAAATCAAATCTCAAAGACAGATTAAAAACAGCTTAGGAAGAGTGAGTTCCTGTGCAGAAAGACAGGCACCTTCTCCTTTGCAAAGGGTAGGCTTCCTTACCCATAAATTCTACTTAAACATAAGAAAACCCTTTTATTAATTCTCTGAGTGGTCAAATTCTGGAACAAAAGGGTTGTGTAGACTCCATCCTTGGACATATACAAAACCCAACAGCACACAGGCCTGAGCATCCTGCTCTTCTTGGTCCTTCTTTTTAGAGGTGTGTGGTTGGACTAGGGGCCTTTCCAGCACCCCTGCCAGCCCCAGAAATTCTGTGACTCTGTTTGACTTGAATGATTTGAACAAGACAGAACAGAGACCAGAGCATTTAGGATTATGGGACACATATGCTCATGCTCTAATGGTAATATTGAAGAAACAGAGATGAACAAATGTCTTGGTCTGATACAACAGGCCATGAAGAAATCATGTTCCTGTTTATAAGAGGAGACTTGTCACAAGCACTCAGTGACAGTCATGCACTTGCTTGAAATCTCTGGACTAAATACATAAAAATGCATTTTTGTGCAACATCATTAAACAGAATGTTTTAGTAAGGATGCCTCAAAACCTTCCACACCAGGCATAAGGAGAAACTAAGCAGCTGCAAGAACCCCACAGGTTCACTGCTGTTCCCTGGGCTCTAACACGACAACTTCTCTATCAAATAATTATCCCTCTCACAGAGCTCAAACTGTGTGAAATCCCCATCAAACTCACTTGTTTTAAAACTGATCCAATGTTCAAAGACAGAATTTGCAAAGGAGGAAAAACAAAAGGCAATGAAAACACCCAAAACATTTCTTCTTTCTTTAGACTCTGATCTTGAACCTGAGGAAGCTGTGAGCACTAATACACTTGGGAAGAAGTCTCAGGCAAGCCTAGGGAAAGCATTCGTGTGTTAATATTGCATGATGTTACTCTCATCATAACCTATATGTTGAAGGCACCTCTGCTTCATGTGGCTGACTGTGCCTGCTGTGAGGGCAGCACTGGCACGGGGGCACAGCTTCCTGCTCTGCTCTGTGGAATCACAGAACTCCAGAAGTCCAAGGGACGCTTAGAAGGGAAGCATGGCAGCAATCAGACTGCACTGACAGTTGCCCAGGGAGCAGCTGAAGGTTCCCAAACTCTCTGGGGTTCACCATCAAGTTTGGGGATCTTTTTCTCCCTTGTAACATTAACACTTCCATCTCTGCCATGCATAAGTGACAAACTTCTCCGAAGCAGGCACTGCCTGCCTTTCATTCTCAAGACTGCAGTCCCACAGCCCCTACCTGTGAGAAGCAGGTAAGCCAACAGCTACCTTTAAGTCCCCACTCAATGCTCTGACTCATTACTTCTTCAGACGATGTATAACATCCTCTTGAAGATCTGTTTGCTGGCAGGGTTGGAGGGAAGTTGAAGAAGACCTAACTCCTTCCATAGAGCTGTCATCAGAGCCTCAGCCACCTGGAAAACAAGAAGAAAAGGGATTCATGTTTTAAAAGGCCAAGTCTCTTCAGATACTGCCAGTTCATCGCTCCCTGGAGATATTGAAGAGCTGGGACTTAGTGGGATCAAGCAGCACAAAATGCTCTATGCTCTCTAAAGCAAACCAAGAGCTGCTTTCCATGTTCCAGCTGACGCAGGAGTTGTCGCTAGCTTTGCACTTTGTTGGCTTGTGCTACTGTAAGAAGAAAAGCACTGATTTCCTTCATTTGCATGCCCATCTCTTAATTAGTGATAAGGCAATCAGCACCCCAGACTCTTCTCTGAGGTGTGGGGTGCAGCACTGCCCTCACCAGTGGTGGTATCCTGGGAGTCAGCCATGTCAGGAAGTATGAACCTGTACCAAGAAACCTACTGGTAAAACAGATATTTCCTGCCCCATTTTATTCCAGTTATAGGGCGCTATGGAAAGACAGGTCTTTGCATTGCAGCTGTCTTCTAGGCTGCTTCCTTCTCACTGAATATGTTCCCCAGAGCTGTTGTTTGCAGTCAAAAACTGTGTGTTACAAGGAGAATATTTGATTGGACTTTGATGAGGCTGGAAGACACCACTGTAGTAGTCGAGACCCCTGCATTGAAAGGACACTCTGTTAACTGAAGTAAATATGTTGCTACGAATTTCTTGACTTAATTGACAGAACATTTTATAGTGTGAACTTCAAAATCTCATTAGGAATGAATCAGGCTGAGGCTATGTGCCTGTAACATTTTTAATACTGCCACAGACTCAAGCTTACTTGGAGTTGATACCTTTTCTTGATCAAGAGATTCCAATGCAATTTAATGCAATCAATTCAATAGTTCATGCCAATATGCAAAAGTGACTGGATTAAAGGAAATACCATCTCCAAATTGTGGCCTGACAGACAAATCCCATCATTTTCAGCAGCTCTTAGTTCACATCCATCCCTGACATGCCTAAGCTAAAGGAATAAAGGCATTTTCCTACAGATGTCAGAAGCACAGAGCACCCGGGCAGCACAGGGTGATCTTGCTGTGATTGAAGGGCTCCATCAGTAACTCCTTCTCCCTTATGAGGGCGCTACATTTTGCCACTTGACTACATTACCCTTGTCATACTCACTCTTATTGTGGAAGTACAACTTAATCCTCCACTGCTTCAGTGATAATATTACGAAATGAAGCATAATGAAAAGATTCTCCAGACATTTAATGCCTGCTTGTTCCTGCTCGTTCCTGCTCAGCATGTGGCCACACATTGCTGACACAACAGCACCCATAAGTCCCCCA